AATAAGTGGCCTAAAACCGGTGAGAAAACTAGATTTGGGGGTACCCTAGGTTGACCTCTATTATGGTGTGCCCCCCCCCCCCCAGTCGGAAAGTAGTTCCCGCGCCCCTGGTTGGGAGTGTTCCAGCTGTCTGGTTTATGTTTTTTATTGATTTGTCTTGTCTCAATTACCAATCCTACGAAGTATGTAGTCTACCCCGTCTTTATTTATAAACGCAATACCTAGATTCATTTTGTGCATCTGAGACCAGTTTTACCAATAGAAAAATAGCCGCCTGCGGGATTTTTTTTTGTGAAAGACTGCTTCACATAGGGAGCTAAACCGTAAAGCCCTATCCGTCTACCTGTCCAGTGCGCTTATGCTCTGCATGTGAAGCGGTCTTTAAAGGGACTATCCCACCTTTAACATGGGGTTTGAGTTGAGATAGCCAAGTTTGCGGCGAGGTTGCAACCCCCGCGGCCTCTTGGTGTTGAAGAAATTCGTTCCCTTCATTTGAAAATGGGCCTTGTACAAGGCCCTATCTTCAACATGGAGCGACCGTTAGTGTGACGTCACCTCGTTTAGTCATTCTGATTTAAATGGGTTTGTTCGTTGAAAATCGCTTAAAACTTGGTCTGAACTTTGTTGTGGTGCCTTCAGAGTAAAAAGAATCAGCTTTATGACAGTAATGTGGCCTGGGGAAGGAGGTAATTTTGGGCTGTGACGTCACATATTTGAAAGTTTGTGTTTGGAATATGGGAAGCCTAAGATGTTTAACCCTCGCCCGCACATGGGGGGGGGGGGTTGCCACCCCCCCCCAGGCAGTCTTTCTGCTCTGTACTCAACATTTTTAGAGCTAGAAGGCTGATTTTTCGTATAGCTGCTCCTCTATCCTTTCTTGATGTCCACTGAAAATTTCAAGTTTCTGTGATTTTTGGTTTCGGAGATATGACCTTGTTTTTCAGGTCATGTCATGACCCAAATGGCCAATTCTCAACATCTTGCGTTTGCCATGGGCCTTGTGAGCTTTTGACACCCTGATTTCGGCCTTTTTTGCCAGTCTTACCTCCCACCTATCATGGAACATGTTGTTCGACGATGTACAGGGGTCAAGGTCAGGGTCAAGGTCAACCTAGGTCATCTAAGATAATTGCGTTTTAGGCAAGCTGAATTTACTTTTTGTGAATTTTTTTGACTGCATTTTTGGTAAAAGCTTCTCAGATCATGATTTCATGTGATATGGACCCAAAAACAATCGGTGCACACATCAGTATACACACAGACACACACAGACATACAAACACATATAATTGACCTTGACCTAACTTGACCTGAAATGACCTCAGCAGCAAAATTCTGGTCGGATAGTGTGACACAGAGGTTCTAGCTGGCTTGGCACCAGAAAACAGCATCGTCATCGGTATTTGATAAGCAGCGCACTTGATATCCAACGGTGACCCAAAACAGCAACATTTTTTAGTTTGACCTGACCTGGAAGGTCAATGACTGACCTGAGAAGGTAAAACTGGGTATCATTGGATTCGTCTCTTCCCAAAGAATCTTTTTGGTCTTTACTGCTAAGCTCTATCTCCAACAGGAACGAAATGGCGCGGGGGGGGGGGTGGCAACCCCCCCCCCCCATGTGCGTTCTAGGATGGGAAAATGGCATGTGCGGGCGAGGGTTAATGAAAAATAAATGCCAGAACCGTGTTCCTGGTCATCCAATCTATAAAGTCGGGCACAATTTAACTGGTTTTAACAACATTTTAGAAGGTGGGATAGTCCCTTTAACAAACAAACAAAACAAAAAAAAATCCGGCAGGCGGCTATTTTTTTTTGTTGGTAAAACTGGCCTCTGCTCTCGATTCCATCCGAATCCTCTTTTTCTCCTCTGCGTCTCAACCTCCTAGGGGGTTGAGACGTTCTTGTCAGACTAAGACTGACCTAACCCAACACAATTTTTAATCAATTTTATGACATAGGGGTACAATGCTAGTGTAGCAGCATCGCATTATTGCCTTGACTAGCTTTCTTCCTTTTCAGCTTGATCCTGTGTCACAGAGCCATGTATGTGAGCAGCAATTACCGATCACAGGACCCAGACACCACGACCTGCTAGTTTCTGAGTCAAGTCAGCTGACGAAGGGGTCTGCTAATGCACAGCCACCTAGCCAACATGATAATCTTAGGAATCTTAGGACCCTATATTATTAAGTTGCCCTATATTACCTTACCTTACATTCACATAATGGGAGAGTTTAGAGGCTCAATGGACTGTAGAGAACCATTCTCTGACTCAGTGTCCCAACAATTGCCAGTTTGGGTGGGAAGTGACATCCAAATAGAGGTAATTTTTCACTCATTCCAAGTTTTCCTGAGCAAATTTTTACTCAAGATTTTACCAATAAAGGGGCATATGTGTGTATATTTGCTGGCTGGCTTTTACCTACCTACCTTCAAATTGCATTCAATCATCTTATAAAGTGGCTCCCACATCCTCCAATATTCACAGATAAATAACTAGATGATCCCTGTTCTCCACTTTTTTGTGCCTGTCCGACTTGCAATTTTCCACTCTCGGCCCTCTTTGCAGAGGAATATCCCCTTCCAACACCCAAACCAAAATATGACTTTGGGACACCGCCTTCTTATCAAACCTGCTCACGTGCGACTTCTACCTTACTTAGGGTAACTTTTAACCCGCGCATGAGGGGGGGGGGGGCTGGCAATATCTTCTTAATCGTTTGACGGATCAACACGAAACTTGCGGTACCTTCAGCGGCATCAATTTGACACCTTGTGTTTAATTTTCAACTTTCTAGCTACCATAGTTTGGTCGGAAATGACGTCAGAGTGACGTCATGTCGGCCGATTTTGATGCAAAATATTGAATTACGGGAAACGCTCTCAAGAGCTCAGTTTTAAAGCTAGATCTATTTTTTTTTTTACATGAGTGTACTACACATATACTCGTACGTAGCTATCAAACTGCTTTCTGGTATTTTCAAAATTTTGAAAATTTTGAAAAATATTTATTTACAATTACAAAAATATATTTTCTGATTAAGAAAAAAAAAAGGTTTTGAAAAACCGGAATGCAGCCTCCAGTGGAATGCAACTTTGGTCACAAAGGGCAACTTTGGCCCACCACTGGAAACAGACTCTGTTTTGCTGTAGCTTTTTACACTCCTACCTAGTACAGAAAAGTTGTTGTTATGGTTTAGTAAGACTGTTCATCGGTTACCTTTGGGAGCAGCCCTGAGTTGTTCCTAAGACCAAGTTAAAGGGCTATGGGGTTTTAAAACAACCCATGAAAAATTAAGGGAAAATCAGGGTTGGCTAGGATCCAGTGAGGACGGTAAACGGGTGCGCCATTAGTGACCTTGTGGTTTCCAACTTGTAGTGGTTCAAAGTAAGCTCAGGTTACACAAAAATTCAGAGTGGTAATTATTTTCTTTAAAATGAAAATTGGTATAGGTGGACAATGTTGCCACACACTTAAAGATCGAAATCGGGCAACTTTGGCCCAGTTTGAAATATGTCGCCCCTTCCCGTTTTTTTTTTTTTTTTTGTTCGGCGATAGCTTCAAGCACGCCAGCGATATGGAGCTGAAACTTGGCATAGCTGACCTTTGATCCAAGCCGCATATTGTGACACTAATCGCATTTTCAGGTCCGGTCAGGTCACAACCCTATGACGTCATAATAAACCTCTGCACGGTCCTCAGGTGTCACAACATTGCAACGCCCTCAGTGCCAGGGGAATTTTCACAGGGAGATGAAACTTACAGGTTTAAATATCCCTCTGAGGTCTCACAACTTATATCTCGGATTTTCCCTAAAAGTCACATGAGGTCAGGTGGTACCGTGGTCACGTGACCAAGTAACCGGGAAATATGAAATCTGCTATTTTGGCGCCAGGCACGATCTCAAACTATTTCAAGCACGTCGGAATCGTAATTCCATTTACTCCTTGCAAGTTTTCACTTTTGCATTATTGACCTTGCGTGACGTCATTTATCACGTCACTTGGGTCGTAAGACTTTTTTCGTGAACAACTCCCGATCAAATTGAGCTAGCGAGTTGGGGAAGCCACCAATGGACTCAGGAAGACTTGCCGAATCGAATGATATGCAACATGACCTCCTTCGACAAGCTTCGTGACCTGGGGCACGGACTTGATCTTGAGCAGAGGTCAACACCTCAAGTTGACCTCACCCTGACAAAAAAGTATACCATTCGACGCGCCTGAAAAAGGCGAACACGATGCTGTCAAAATCGCGGCTCTTTGGCCATTTTTGCGGAGTTATTTATGAAAAACTGAACACGTGCTTTGGGTCACGTGACCTGACCTCAGAGGTCACCGGTTGACCTGAGAAAAAAAAACGGGTACCGGCTAACGGGTAAATGGCTAATGTTGTCATACGCTCGGCAAAAATGAGCAGAAAAGGCGGAAACCATAAATTTAGATGAATATTTTTCGTTTCGCTGTTAGAGGGGGTGGGGCGTCTGTCCCACCCTTACCCCACTTACCCCACTTACCCCACATCTTACCCCACTCTCCCCTATCAGCGACCTCATTTGTCAATCAAAGTATTAGACAACCATTGCTCGATCGATGATTTGATTTTCGACGGCATATCTTTTACTCGATGCTATATGAACACATTTCTTAGAAAGAAGGCCTACAAACGGTCCAAAATGCAACCTTTGCCCTGACCTTTGACGTCATCGGCTGCACCTGGGTCAATGAATTTTGATCACGTGGTAGTTGCCCGGTGGGGCTATCGAACGCCGTTTGAATTTTGAAAATCGGTCGGTAGCTCTCCGAGATCTTAGGGTGGAAGGGGGCAAACGCCCCCCCCCCCCAACGGGTGGTAGGGTGCGGGAATAGTCCAATGGGGCGCAGGTTAAGGAACTTCAGGCTAGGGTGTGATGTTATAATCTGTCTTGGAACATCTCCAGTTTGGCAGCGCGCGCGATACACTGAGCGGCTTGTTTTCGGTTGTGTTACAGACACTGGAGCCGATGCTCTGGCCCGAGTATGGTGACACGCCGGCGGACGCTCGAAGTGCGCGACTGCGGCTTTGTACATCAACGCCTGATTCGACCCCCAAGCGACGTCATTCAGGCCAGTTGGTGCGCCAGTAAGCGTCTGCGCTGGAGCAGAAACTGCGGACACCGCCAGCTGACTCAACCCTTAGCATATGGAAGATCGTGTATCAGAATGAACTCTACCCCAACTTTATTGAAAGTGGCGAAAATTCTATAGTGCCTAGTGCATGTACATGAATTGCAATGCTGCGCTTAATTCTGTAGATCGGGCAGTTAAGCTTAAAATACTATCTTCTTCTGGAGTACCACACCTCTTACCGTTTTCTGTAATATTTGAGGGTGTACTATGCGTCTGGAGCAGCTGCTGTACAAGGCACAGGGGCATGGCGTGCTTCGGCGTCCGAGAGCGTGGGCAGCAGCGCTGCACAGTGCACTCAAACTAATCTTTTGAGCCGAGAGTGTGGAGCGGCGATTTGTGCTGGAATGTGTTGGTCGGAGACATATTGAAGGCTGCTGGGACAGGTCGCCCCGGCGGCGGCGGCGTACCCGTGACGCTGAGAAGTAGAGCGGACCGGACCGGTAGCGTATGCGGAAGGTGCTCCCAGTACCGACTGCCAGCAGCCTCTGAGCGGCAGCCAGCGCCTTCCCTGTGACCGCGAGCATGGAGCGCCAGACAGCGCCTCCCGCCGTCACCGCCCACACGGCCTCTCTGACTGCGGGCGGCCGGGGCACGGCGGCGGTGCCGTCGTCGCTGCACTGCACGAGCCCGGCCATCTCGCCGCAGGTCCGGTTTCAGGTCACTCATTCATCGTCGGGCCGCACCGAGCGGGAGCGTCGCAGAACGGCGTCCTCCTGCTCGTCGCGCTTCAGCGACGTGTCCTCGCCGGACGACGACTCGCTGACTCTGGAGCGGCACGCGCCGGACGGCGGATGGGGCTGGGTAGTGGTGGCCGCTTCCTTCGTTGTCAACATGATCGCCGACGGAATCGGCTTCTCGTTCGGTGTGTTTTTCGTCGAGTTCCTGCGCTCGTTCGGGGCGTCCAAGGGCACGACGGCCTGGCTGGGTAGCATTTTCCTGGCGCTGCCGCTGCTGCTCGGCCCGCTGGCCTCCTCGCTGGTGGACAGGTTCGGCTGCAGGCGGTGCACCGTGGCCGGCTCGCTGCTGGCCTCCGCCGGCTTCCTGCTCAGCTACTTCGCCAACTCGATGGAGCTTCTCTTTGTGACCTTCAGCATCCTGCCCGGCATCGGCCTGTCCGTGTGCTACGTGGCGGCCGTGGTGATTGTGGCCTACTATTTCGAGCAGCGCCGCTCTTTGGCCACCGGTATCAGCGTGTGTGGCACGGGCGTGGGCACGTTTCTGTTTCCGCCGCTGGTGGAGCACCTGCTGCAGGAGTACGGCTGGCGCGGTGCGCTGCTCGTCCTCTCCGCTATTCTGCTCAACGTGGCCGTCTGCGGTATGCTGATGCGGGACCTCGACTGGACTAAGCGCAGCCGCCGAGAGCGCTCCAGTCAGTGCACGCTCTCGGCGGACGGGGACTCGGAGCGCTGGACGGCCGACTCGGACTCGCTGCCGGACGTGGAGCGGCTGCGGGGCGCGCTGGCCGCTCGGCCGCCGGCCGCTGAGCAGCTAGAGCGGCTGCACAGCTCGGCGCTGCAGCTGCCCACATGGCTGGCCGACGGCGACCTCTCTCCGGAGGTGCTCAACACGATCGAGTCCAACCGGAGCCTACGTGAGCTGGTGAGCCGTCTGTATCCGCAGCTGCTGACAGAACGGCCGGCTGGCCTCACCACCTATCAGAGACTCCCGGCAGACGGCGGCGGCATCAACACGAGCTCGCCAACCGGCGAGGGTGTCCCTGAAGGCGACGAGCTGCAGGGTTGGCACGGCCTGCTGGATGCAGAGAGTCCGGCTGTGCTGGCGGGTAAATCCGGTGGCGACCGGCGGCTGCGTCACCTACTGCCGCCGCTGAGCTGCGACTCGGCGCCGTCGGCGGCCCATCTGCGCAGCCGCAGACTGCGGCGCCAGTCGACTACGTACCGCGGCGCCATGCTGAACATCCAACGCTACCGACCGAGGGCCGCCTCATGTCCGGACATTTACTCGACGGTTACCGCCGCGGCCGGTGGAGATGGCGAGCACTACTGCAGCTACCTGGGCGGCGTCTGCGGCACCCTGCGCAAGATGGTTGACCCCGCCTTCTTCCGACTGCCCGGCTTCGTGCTGTTCGCACTGTCCAACTTCGTCTTGTACATGTTCTACGACGTGCCCTACGTCTACCTGGCCGACGACGCCATCAGCAGGGGCGCGTCGGACGAGGACGCCAGCATGCTCATCTCCGTCATCGGCGTGAGCAACGTCGTAGGCGTGGTAGGTGACATCCGAGTGGTGGGCGACGTCCGAGTGGCAGATATCTCTGTCTGGGCCTGGGGCCGTATTCACGTCGACTTCGTAAGTCGATTTTCTTTTGTAAGTAGTATTTGGTATTCACGTCGACACTTCTTAAGTTTTTATCGACGAAGCTCACGTGATTAAAAAATTTGCTTAATGGGACCCTCCCACCTTCAAAAAAGTTAATGAATTGGCATAAAAGTGATGTCCCTTGGCTGGGAAAGATAAAAAATGAATACCAAATTTCACCGAAAAATATTCACTGTTTTTCAAGACATTAGGCTTTAAAGGTAGTGTGCCACCTTTGAAAGATTTCCCATTTTATTTTTCCTAGGATAAGAAGCTTCTGTTTTTACCTAATATCGCAAAAAAAAATCAAAAATGGGCCTGGAAAAGTGCCTTTTTCGCCTAAAAGTTTATCGGTTTTTCGATATCCATAACAACTGTAGTGGGCTGACCTGCAAACAGGCGTCGGCAACAATCGCGAATGCGGCGCACATGTGACAATAAGCAAAGGTCATTATAGAGTTACGACGTACGGGAATGAGTTATCAGCTGTCTAATCGTAGACAACACAATGTCGAGCCTTAAACTGTAAGCCTGTATTGGTATTGTTTCTTTTATTTGGCTGTCGAACATTATTTATGGTTTGAAATATGATTTTATGTAAAATAATTGATATGAAAAAGCCGTCTCTTAACCCTATTCCTGGCGGGGGGGGGGCCTCAGGAGCCCCCCCCCCCCGAGGTTTTTTGGTTATTTCTCCCAAACGCGTTGAGCTAGGAAGCTCAAATTTTCTGACTTTTCCTAAAAGGCTTCTACGCAACATGTCTGTGAAAATTTTGAGTTGATCTGACCTCAGGTCAGGTCACCAGAGGCGGTTTGGTGACCCTACCTCAGAAAAGTTTGCAATCACGCCAGAGCTAGAGTTTTTGACCGATCAATTTCTTCTCTTCAGGCTTTAGTTAGGGTACCAGTATGTGCAATTTGTATATCTCGGAATTTCGATATCGGTGACCTAAGGTCAGGTCAGTTTCGCGACCTCCCCATTATAAGTCAATGGGGGAAAAATCAACTCCCTGTTTTTACCACTAAAACGGGTCGGAATGGCCCCATATACCATACATGACTTCATATACGATCAACCTTCACTACCTTGAGGTCTGTTTTGCTGTTGGGCAGCTGTGAGGTCATGTGACGTCATCAAAGGTCACCAAAGGTTTTTGGCCAATAACTCCGTACAGGAACAAGATACAGACGCGTGGATGGTCTCATTGTGTTCAGCTCGTCAAGACGCATCGAATGATATACATGATGACCTCGAGGTCACGTGACCTGAGGTCAACCTTTGACCTTGACCTTTCGAGGTCAACATATATATCATTCGATGCGGATTGACGAGAGGATCACGATGATGCTCTTAGTTTGTTCCTATCTTGACTAATTCGAAAGTTATTCGAGAAAAACTCTCTCCATATCTAGCGCCGCCATTTTGACTTTTTCGACCCCTGTGACGTCATCTTTGACCTGACCTGAAAATGACCTTTGTAAAAATTGTAGATCTTGACCGTGCGTATCCGATGCCGTTTACCGCTTGTCGCTATCTTGCTTCGTTCTCGAGATCTCAGGGGGGGCCGAATCGGCCCCCCCCGCCAGTTTCTTGTCCCGGCGGAGCCCGCCAGGAATAGGGTTAAGTTATGACCCCATTTCACTACACGCAAGTGGCAGAAATGACAATGATCAGCTGACGCATTTTTCTTGGCCGAAGTCAGAGCGCGCGGCCCGACGCACCACCACCGCACCACAAAGTATGAGCAGAAGCCGCGCCCAAAGCCAGGGCCCCGGTAACGTGAGGTAGCCGAGTCGGGGCAGCGTGCGCTGACCCAAGCCGGGGCCGCAGCTTTGGGCGCGGTCTACCGCATCCCCGCGGGCAGCCCCAGGCTATCACATGACACCGGGAGGACGCGCGGCCCCGGCTTGGGTCAGCGCACGCTGCCCCGACTCGGCTACCTCACGTTACCGGGGCCCTGGCTTTGGGCGCGGTCTACCGCACCACCTAACAGGCTTGTTCGAAACCGCAGGAGATGATGATGAACGGGTTTATCGAAACTTGATTGGATGAGCATATCGGTAATAGCGATTTCAGTGTGTACATTTATTGTTCATAGTGGTGTGAAATGTGGTTGGGGTACGACCGACAACCCGTCGGGGCGAATTGCGCACTGGGGTACTCAAAATTTGAAGAATTTAAGACGTTTCCATGAGTTTTGAAGGTATGGATAAGTTCTAAAAATCCGGTTCTCCTTATCTGGGCCATTAACTCCATACGGTCCAGGAAAGCTGGCTCACTACCTTTAACTTTTGTTTACTTTTTGGGATCTCCGCTGTTCCTAGCGACTTATTTGGAAGCAATAATTTGGCAGCCTGGAAATGCGGCAGACGTTGCGCGCAAAGCAGTGTACCTATACCACCACATGTTAACGATGGTTTTAGTCTAAGATTTAAAAATCGTTAGATCTCCGCAGACGTCACAAATTCTAAGGGGGCATTCCAATGCATTAGCCCCTTAGAATCCGAAAACTGCAAGTTTGAAATTCCATATCTCCGAAGTAAATCATTTTTTGATGCTGTGAGTGCCTAAAGTCCAAACCGGTATTTTCAGGCCATGGCCACCAATTTGGCTATCTCAACTCAAAACTAATGCTACGGTGGGATGGTCACTTTAAGAGGTAGGTCATCCGTAAGAAAATTCTTACGACAATGATCGACGTGAATACGGCCCCTGGGCCCATCTTATAAAGGGTGTGCTACCAAATGCCGTACTATCATTCCACGTCACTCTATTTACGGCACCCTATGCACGCAATCTTATAAAGAGAATAGTACGGCAATTCTTTTCACGCCATTTTGCCCACGGTACAAATCAACGCCAGCAGGAAACACTCAACGTGATTGATCAATGCCTTGTCGCCGTCGCTATTGGAAATTTTGCGTACCTACCTACTTTTTGTGAATAGCAAAAGTTATGTGTTTTACTTTTTATGGGGTATTTTTTTTCTTTTAGAGACACACATATGTGTAATGAATACCTAAAGTATTTATGGAAAACGTGATAGCAAACTATGGAAAACACCAACATGCTTGAAGAATTCTCCTGAAAAGTGGATTCCTGACCAAATAAATTACAGCGTGGGCATTCTCGCGCTCAGAAAATCGAGTGAATAAAGTGTTTCTTCTACTTATCATTTGCATTGCATTTATTTGCTGTTAAGGCATTGCCATAAATTTTTTAAAGAATTATTTGAATAATGATTTAATTATATCTCGGCTACTGCTTCCGTAATTGAAGTAATGCCGTTGACAATGAAGCTCCTACAATTTGAGCATTATAGGATACGTACAGGTCTCGCGGGTTTTAACCCTATTAGTGGCAGGGGGGTTGTTTTTATCCACCCCTCAGGTTTTTCGGGAATATCTCCGAAACCGCTTAAGCTACGATGCTGAAATTTTCTGACTTTTCCTAAAACTAAATTGGGCACATTCCCTGAAAATTTCAAGTTCATAACTTTACCAGGGGCGGCTCCAGAGCACTGGGAATTGGGGGTCCTATTCGTGAAGCGAGTCATTTGGGCGAAGATCACGATTCTGCACCAGTTTTACGGACAGTGAATGAAGGGTATCATGTGATAACATATACAAAGTTATTGTGCATCCTCTTTTGACACGTTTTTGCTATAATAGGCGGATCCAGGCGTCCAAAAAGGGGGGTTATTTTTTACCTCCCAACATAAGTGCCCTGACACCGCCTATGCATGACCAATACAATTTTAGTCGTTCTCTCATAAGAAAATTGTAACATGACAAGACCATTGCCACCCTTTTTAGAAACAGTACCAACAAAAACCTTATTTACTATACTTTTTGTGTACCCCCAATCTCAATGATCTGTATCCGCCTATGATTTTTGAAAATGCATATTTTTAGGATCCATGTGAATTCCTGGTTCATTCTCTATCGATCGGCAAAAGTTGCGTTGAGATTGGTTCAGAAACCTGGCCGTGATAAACAGTCTAAAATGTATCTGCAATTTAACCGTTTTTACCCCCCTCTACCCCCTATTGACATTTTTTAATTTTATTTTTTTAGAAATGTAGATCTCGTTGAGCCAAATCGAATGCCGTTTGAATTTTGAAAATCGGCCGGTTAGATCTCGAGATATCAAGGGGGGGTCGTAAACAGCCCCCCCCCCCCTGCCACTAATATGGGGTAGCCAGGAGCCTGCCACTAATAGGGTTAAGCAGGATTTCGGAGTCGGAGTCGGAGTCGCCCGGAGTCGTGGCAAGCAGCCAGGAGTCGGAGTCGGAGTCGGTGAAGCTGCCTCGACTCCGACTCCGGGAAGTTAACTAGAATCGGTGATATCACTGTTCAGTTGTTTTTAACCAGTGGCCCCCGCGGTAGAGTTCGCTTCTGGTGATCAAAAATAACTTTCGCACACATCTTGTTTTGACAGGGCCCAATCTTACCAATGCCGTGGATGCAGATGCCGTGGATGCCTACCACGGCGGCTGATCCACGGCACTCCATTTACCCAATCTCACCAATGCCGTGCCACGGCATTTCTATTCACGTCATTTTGCCCACGGTACAATTCAGCGCCAGCAGAAAACACGCAACGTGATTGGTCAATTCTTGCCACCTTCGCTATCGGAAATTGTGCGTATTGCTTGTGAACAAGTATAGCTCTCTATTTAAAGTATTGTCGGGCGTTTATTTGTTTTAGAGCCATACATATGCGTGAAGGATAAGTTATTTGTGGAAAACGTGATAGCAAACTATGAAAAACTAAAGCCTGCCTAAAGAATTCTCCTGAAAAGCGGATTACTGGCCTAGTAAACTTCCGCGAGGACATTCTCGCGCTGAGAAAATCGAGTGGATTAGATTTCAACTTCGTTTCGCTGCTCATCATTTCTATTTACTTGCTGTTAAGATATTGCAACAATTTTGAGATAAAATTATTGAAGTAACGACCTAGTGATAGCTCCGCTGTTGTTTCTAAGACATTAGAATAATGCAATTGAAATGCAGCTCGTAAAGTTTAAACTTTGGGTACATGCACCCGGCCAGCTCAAGCTATAGCCTTATTTGCTGCTTTTTACGAGCACGATAACAAAAAAAATTACTCAAAATATTGAAGAAACCCGTCTACATCTCAAAACCAT